GCTCCCTTTCACTCCAGCCAAGAATATTCTGGCCATCTCCTCCCTCTGCTTCTTGTTCTCTTTTCTTTGAAATTCTCTGTCCTCTTTCCTATTTTTATCCTGCATCTCCCGTTCCTCCTTCCTTAGCCTCTCCTCCCTGTCCTCCAGAGACTCCCTAGCATTAAAGACCTTCTCTGCCTGTTGCAGCATCTCTCTAATAGAAATCTTTCCCAGATCGTCCCGCTTATGGAGTTTTCTCCTGATATCGGAGGCTGCCTGGTTAATATAAGAGAGGACTACAGCTGACCTGTGTTCCTCTGCCTCTGGGTTTATAGGGGTGTATTGCCTATAGGCATCAAATAGCCTTTCCAGATACGCGGCTGGGCTTTCGGTTTCTCCCTGAACAATTGTTTTCACCTTACCCAGGTTAGTGGGCCGTCTTGCAGCCACCTGGAGACCAATCATCAGTGTCTGGCGGTAGACCCGGAGATGCTCCCTACTTTCTGCCATCCCAAAATCCCAATTTGGGCATGTGAGGGGGAACGCCTCATCAATGGCGGGCTGAAGGGTAGTGGGCCTCCCATTTTCTCCAAGGACATTCTTCCTGGCTTCATTCAGGATGCGTTCTCGCTCTTCTGTTTTGAAGAGGGTGCAAATAGCTGCTGGCAGTCGTCCCACGTGGGACAATGGGTGTACATAATGGATTCTACCAAACCTATTAGACACTTAGGGTCTTCAGAAAAGGGAGGATTTTGGGTCCTCCAATTGTAGAGATCGCTAGAGGAAAATGGCCAGTATTGATACTGCTGAACTCCATCTGGGCCGCCGACTGTTCAGACCAGCAGAACTGGCACAGCTCCTCCTGTGGTGGAGGATGGAGCTTCCTCCACTCGGTCCCTGTTTCCTCGAGACCTTAACTGCATCCTTCCCGCCTCCCCGGGTCGTCTATCTTCTCCTGTAGAGGAGTCTGGGGATGGGGCGACCACTGGATTCCCCATGGGACCCCCAGCTCCATCCCCAAACCACTGGATTCCCATGGGGACCCCTGGCTCCATCCCTCCCTCCATAGGCCACCTTGGCTTCTCCTCCTGGTGGAGCTGCATAATGTGGTGGCTGCTCAACAGGCAAAGGGGGGTAGAGCGGGGAGCTCTCGGGGAGAACTTGCAGAGCACTTGGATCCCCGCCTCTGTGACTGGAGGACTTCAATCCTTCCTGGGTGACCATGATGGAGACTTTTGGTGGGCAAGCATGAGGCTTTCTCACCAAGAGGGGCCTTAACCAGGATGGGGGATCCTCTGCCAGATTCTCCCACAAAAGGATATAGGGGAGTTGATCTGGGTGGCCCTCTGGGTCAGGCTGGATAATGACAGCCTTGACCTTGCCAATGGTGTCCAGGAAAAGGGACCCCTGGGTCGGCCAACCTACTCCAAAGGTGGGCCATTCAGTTGAGCAGAAAGTGCCAAACTTACCCTTCCTGATGCCGGGGCCCAATTTCAAAGCCTGCCCCTTCACCTCCGAGAAGTGAGAGAGGATTAAACCTTTAGGAGTGGCCTGAGTCTGGCCCATGGTGGAGATCACAGAAGAGAGAGAGAGAGAGAGAGATGAAAAGGGAGAAGTGAAGATGCCACTCTAAACAATAATGGCCAGTGGGTATGCTTGTGGGTGGGTGCCTGTCATTGCCCAGTTTTTCTTCTGCGGGGGACGTGAATTTATCTGGGATTCACGCCTTATCCTTTCACGGGAGTCTTTCAGCGGCGGGCACCCTAATGGCTTTTATTTGCTCGACCCGTACCCGCGGGGCTTTCTCAGTGGCTGGAGAGAGGGATGGAGAGGAGAGGGAGATACAGATAAGGGGTCTTGTCTCCACCCATGCGGGCAGTCGGGGTCCGCCAAGAGGGCTAAGAGCCTTTGGCTGACATGAGAGAGTAGCCCTGATCACATAACCTCTATTGCTCTTTCGCCTTTAACGGTCCCATGCGAAGACTTAGACCGAGAATAAAAGGAAAGAAAAGGAGGAAGGGAAGGTTTCAAATAGGGAGCGTAGAGAAATACAAAACCAGACCCCCCCCCCCCAGTAAGACAATTAGCACAACCATCAAGCATGCGCACCACATTGAATCACATTTGTGCGGACCGGTCGTCTTTCACTCACACGCGTGCTGCACTCACCACTCTCATTTTCAGGATCCCCGAGACTTCGTGATTCTCCCAAATGGCGTCCACTCGGACTGCCTCAGAGTGATCAGCTCGATTTTTTCCTCCTCAGGCGCCAGATTTGATGGCAGGCTTCCTTCCTAGAGCCTAGACACTCGGACCCTAGGGCCAGGGCTGGTTACCTGGACTTTCACCTAGATGCCAGGACTTGAACTGGCCAGAGGAGGTGTCTTGTCTCAGTGAAATGTGTTACTGGATTTTTTTAAGCAGAGAGATAGGGCACTGATGACTTATTTGTGCCAAACATTTAGCATGTGTCAGATGCAGTTTGCAAAGACTTGATGGGACTGCCTCCATTTAATCTTCCTTGTGGCCCAGAGTGCAAGTAGTCTTACACCCTTTTACAAGTGGTGTTAGGGTCTGTGACTTGGTGGGTCTCTTCAGGAGAACAATGGAGATGCAAAAATCAAGCAGAGTTTTATTAGGCCAGCTAGCTAGGGCCGACCATCCTTCCAAGACACGCAGGTTTGGTTGGAGCAATCGACCCTGAGGCAACTTCAGGTAAAGATTATATAGGCTCCCACAACTGTTACACAAAAGCCCGCGCTTATACAACCAATAGTTTCAAAGCAAGCATTTCACAAACCAATAACTTCAAAACAAGGAAAAATGTTATAACTCCCTTCAGGTGTCTCAATCGGGGAGGGATGGGTGGTATGTGCCTGGCGGGACCCTTCCCTGTTATCCTGTGTAAGCAGACATGCCTACGTGACACCACGACACAGATCAGACAGGTCAGGCTCTGGGGGCTACAGCACTTTCCTCTATCTCCGGATGCCTGTGTCTCCAGTTGAGTTAATTGGTTACAAGCAGTAAATTCAACCAAGCAGTAAATTCCTCTTTCCCTAACAGTGCTCCACTGAAAATTTGCACAAAGAATGCATATGATGACATTTTGCCTTTTGGCTTCTTAGGATCTCCTTTGCTCACTTTGTTTCCCTGAGTGAGGCGCAGTGTCGCCTAGTGCGGCCCCACTCTCACTTGCCGGGGCTATCTCTATGGAGCTCAATGTACTGCTGAGCATTGCTTTTTCTAAAGACTATTTAAAAAATTATTAGGTAGTGCCAAGTTCTCTGCATCTGAACACACGGAAAAAAAACGCATGTTTAAAAAAAAACCTTTCAAGTGCTTGATATACGTGAGAAAACAGAAAAACAGAAAGGACAGTAGAGCTGAACGCTCTATCTGGTGGTTAACAAAGTTTCTCAGCTCTTCTAACTTCAACCTTTCAGCTGCATTTTCATCTTGAACTTACAAGGGCCGACTGGCCCCCATTTCCGCCACCTTTCAGTCTTCCCTCACTAGCCCCGCCTCTTTCCTGGGGGTGTGGGGGTGGGGCTGTCTGCTGTCCCGATCTGCACCTTCCAATGCTCACTGCTTCCTCCCGGCCAAGCCCCGCCCCCACGCTCCCGACCTTCCTCAGAGAGCTCCACCTCTTCCGGCGACCTGCCCTCCCGTAGCCCCGCCCCCTCCCCTTGACGTGGCGGAGTCGGCACCCGCCGTGTCTGCCGGGTCGAGGTCCTTCTGGAGCCGGGGGTGGGGCGGCGCCGCCCCTGATTGCGGTGCCACGGCAGCTACTGCGGGCGGAGAGGATTGACTGCCAGGCCGGCGCAGAGCTCGTCGGAGCATTTCTGTGGTAAGGACCTGCGTCGCTGCCACCTCTGGGCTCCGCCGGGGTCGGCGGGCTCCCCCGCGGGTAGCTGGAGCCCGGCTGCGGCGTGCTCCGCCAGGGTCTCAGGGCGGTCCTGGCGGTATCCTCCTGTGGTCCGCTCTGGGCGAGGCGCGCTGCAGGCTGCGGCCTGGGTCGCCATGGCCCTGCTGAGCCCTGAGCCTGCGCGGGCCTGGTGATCAAGCGCGCTCAGCAAGCCCTCCTGGAGTAGGTGGATGGACAGGGAGCCTGGGGAAGAAGGCGCTCGAGCGTTTGGCCCCGCACCCAGCCCGGCTCCGTGACACGCCTTCCCTTCCCGGCCCTAGGGCTTCCCTGTTCCTGTGGTGGTGGATCTGGAGTGCCCTAGACTTTGAACCTGGGTGACTACATCACCCAGCATTCGGCCTTGGGCGTTAAAGAGGATGAGGAGCAAAGCACCGGATGAAAGTTTAAAGCCTTGGGCCTTGATTTCTAATGATCAGTGTTTTGACCTGACCGATACTGTGCACTTGAGAGACCATCGGTCTGTGTAGGGCGTTCTCATTTTGGTGTGAAAGGAAGAGTAGAGGAAGGTATAGTAAATCCACTTGTGGACGTTGGAGAGATGTTTAATTCACGTTCTCATCTAAATTTCCTTAATATCCTAACATTTCCCATCCTAAACCTCGGATAAGGAGGCATACAGGCTTAAAAGTTTTAGATTTAGCCAGGCGTGGGGGCGCATGCCTTTAATCCCAGGACTCGGGAGGCAGAGTCAGGCGGATCTCTGAGTTGAAGGCCTGCCTGCTCTACATAGTGAGTTCCAGGACAGCTGGGGCTACAGGGAGCCCCTGTCTAAAAAAAACAAAAAAAAAAAAAAAAAAAAAAAGAGGTTTAGATTTAAATATAATTTTAAGTCTTCCTCCACCCCAGTAGTGTAATTAACATCTCAAAAGTCTGTACATTTTTAAATGATTCATAGAATGCATAGGATCTTGTACTATTATAACCCCAAATCACTCATTTTACTAATGAGAAAATTGAGAATCAGAGTTTATGCCCAAGATAACATTTGTTACTCATTAGTCCATTTCATTGAGCATTTTATAATTGAAAATTTGGAGAGGCACATTGGTAACAAATACATTTGTTTCAAAGGAGCTCTAATTTGTTTACAGTCTTGTATGTTTCTTAATTAGGGATGTATGAAAGGGTTAAAATTGGAGTAACTGAAAAAGTCCTAAGGAAACTCTTTCAAAATACTATAGGAAAATATTTTCATACTAAGTTAAAGTGACGTGAGGCTTTTGTTCTGCCAGAAGAAAATTTTTAATTGAAATACTTTTCACTGGTATAAATTGTACCGAAAATGTGACTTTTTAGGGTGGCCTTTTATATCCTGTGCCATTTTTTAAAAAGACATGTATGTTAAATCTGCATCCTAACTGTATGACATTTGGTTTCATATTTTTATGCAAGCATATTAATATTAGGGAATAAAGTTCTTGTCAAATTATGCTTTTTCACATAAAACTAGTTTGTGAAAGGACTTTTGTACTGAATTAGTGATTTTAAGATTGAGCAATTTCTACTTTTGAAAAGAAAGTAAGGAAGTGTTGTACATGACCATGTAATTGGACAAACTAAGAAGAAACAGGTGCAACTTTCTTCTAAAGATTCCTGGGAGGTGACAGTGTTAAGACATGTACTGGATATCAGCAAGCAAATATGATTGTAGAACAGAGGGGTTAAGAGAAAGAAATGTGAGAATGAAGAGAATTGTGCTCAGATGTCACCCAAGTGAAACTCAGTGTGAAGCCAGTCTGTGACCTATTGTAGAAACTTAAACCTGTCACTTAAATGTGAATGTTTTCCTCTGAGTCTTCCAATACCTTTCTCATGGAAAAGGAACTAAGACACTCTTTTCCAGGACCTCTTTATACTTTTAAATACTGTTGATGTTCCAAAGAAAAGCTAAATTTTGTATGGGGGGTGGTCCAAGTGTGTTAAGTCTGCATTCTAGCAGAGAGGAGATAAGGAGGGAAGGGAATGGGATCCAGTTGAAGATTTTTATTTATGTAACCATAACTCATGATCTCCTCTCCCTTTTTGTTTTGTTTTGTTTTTTGATACAGGCTTCTGCCTCATCCTCCCTGGTGCTGAGATTACAAGAATACACCACGGTGCTTGGTTTGACTGGTTATTCTAGATGGGTTTGCTGCTTCTTTTTCTAGGATAAGAACCAAATAAATGGACAGTAACAGATGGGAAGTTATTCAAGCTTGGTGGTCTCTAGCAACCTTATCCGTCAGTGAGGAATGAATGGAGAATTAATCCCAGAAATAACAGTGTCTAAAATCCTTCTTAGATTGGTCCTGTTGGCATTTTATGGAGGACAAATTTATTTCTCAAAGTTTTAAAAGATATCTAAGATCAAGATTTTAGATTAGGTGTCCAGTGAGGGTCTGCTTTTAGGTGCATATATGGTATCTTCTAGTTGCGTCCTCATATGGTTGGAGAGGCAGTCTGATTTTATGGAGCCTTTTTAAAATGAGGCCACTAATCCCATTCCTTGTTCCACCATTTTTTTTTTAAAGTTTTAACATTCATACTGTTTTTTTTTTTGTTTTTTTTGATAACTCAGGTCTGTAATTTTTGTTTCTTTTAACTTGATGTCTTTTTCTCTGCCACATTAATTACCTGAAATTCTGTAATTCTGTATTTTTATGTTTAACTTCCTCACCTTCATTTCATGGCTAACAACTGTTACACTATAAGAGCCTGTGATAGGACTGTACCCTAGGTGGGAAAGCTAGAACCCAGCTAGCCAGTTAGAAAGCAATAATATGGTGAGAGCTCTTGATACCCCCCCCCGCCCTCCGCCACCACCACCACAAACACACACAAAGGGAGCATCCTTTTCTTCCTATTAGTTAGAGGACCTCCTTGTGGTAGTTCATGCTCTTGAGAGGCTACAGCCAGATGACGATTTTCAGGATAACCTGGTTTATATAGTGAGACTGTTTTAAAACAATAACAAAACCAGAAAGCCTAAACCTGGTAGTGAATCTAAATTAGTGAATTAAAGTTATGTATCTCAAAATGCTTTCATAAGTTAGAATTGTTTCTTCAAGAGGCTATGTGACATGCAAATCATGGGGAGCACCATTTAATAGACATTTTGTTTATTGTGCCACACGTATTTTCTGTTTACACAATAAATATTACCTATGTAGTTTAAAAGTAATGAGCTCAGGAAAGTCATTTTTTGTTAGCATTATTAAATACTCTTCTCTAGAAAGTTTGGTGGGAGCTTGTCATTTTCTGGATATAAAACCATGTGTATTTTAGAATTTTAAGATTTTTATATCTGTTTATTAGAATAGTGTAACTTACAAAGTTGATATGGAAATCATAGGGTCTATATCCCACTTCCTTTTTTGCCTTTTTTCCTATACACATTTAAATAAATAGTGTGAATACTTACTATAGTTTGTCATAGTTTTTAATTTTTTATATTATTACATTTATTGTTTTATGTGTGTATGTATGAGTATGCATGCATTTGTGAGTGCCATGGCACACATGTGGAGGTACAAGGACAACTTGAGGGAGTTGGGTTTTTCCTTCCATCATTTGGGTCATGGGGATCAAACTCAGCTCATCAGGCTTAGTGGCAAATGCCTTTAAACTTAGCTATCTCACTGGCCTTTGTCATAGTTTTTAAAAAAGAGAAATGGCTAAAATCCCTCCTCTTGTTGAGCCTCATGAGCAATAGGATCTGTAGCGTTCTACTTACCTGTTCATATAAGTAGAGTTATTCCTGTGTACTAGTTCTCTTCTGAGACAAATATTTTCATTTGGTCATGATTTTTAAGGTATTAATATTGCTGAATGTGGGAAAATGCAGTGCTTTGAATATTATTGGAGGCTACTGGATTTTTAAGTATCTTTTATGTTTCAGAAATAAGAATCAAGCTCTACAATGACAATGACAACTTATTTGGAATTTATTCAACAAAATGAAGAACGAGATGGTGTCCGGTTCAGTTGGAATGTTTGGCCATCTAGTCGACTGGAAGCTACGAGGATGGTTGTTCCAGTGGCAGCCTTGTTTACACCTCTAAGGGAGAGACCTGACTTACCACCCATCCAATATGAGCCTGTTCTGTGCAGTAGGACTACTTGCCGTGCAGTTTTGAATCCTTTATGGTAATTAAAAGACACAGAAAAAACTATGTGCCAGTACAATTCAAAAATGTAGTTCGGGCTGGGGATTTAGCTCAGGTGGTAGAGTGTTTGCCTAGCATTCACAACGTTCTGGTTTTGATCCTTTGCATCCCATAAACCAGGTGTGGTGGCACACACCTGTAATCTCAGCCCTCAGAAAGTAGAGGCAGGGAAATCAGAAGTTCACGATCATCTTCAGCCACATAGTAAATTCAAGGCCAGCCTGGGTTATTTGAGACCATCTTTAAAAATATATACACACATACCACACACACAAACACACACACACATACACACTCACGTATATTTTATATACATTTTATATATGTATATATATATATAAAATGTTCATTTGTGTAAGAAATTTTTAAAATTTATAGTTCCATAGTCAAATCCAAAGAGCTACTAAACTTTAATATTCTAGTTATACTACATTGATAATATGAAGAGACTAGATAAAAATGTCATTATAAAAACAATTGTTTGTAGATACTGGTACTGGCTGTATATTGACCCATCTTGTCTTAACTGTTTTGGCATAATATTCAGAGTGCTATGATTTCTTAGTCAAAAGTCTCAGGAAACACTATTTTTTCCTTCTTTGCTATTTCTTCTCCCATCTAGTCTGTTGGCAAATATAGACTGCTCTTTCTACAGAGCATTAAAGATTCTGCCTCTTTTACTTGATGTTTGCTCCTGCTTAAAGATGTCACCATCTTTTTCATGGGTGATTTCAGTATCTTCCTAACTGGTCTGCTGGTTTCCACTCTTGGTTTTTAGAAGTCTATTCTCCATCCAGAGATTAGAACTTTATGAATGTAAATCAGAGTATTAAAATTTTTTTTTGAGACAAGTCTTTTGTGTAGGCTAGGACTGAACTTGGAATCCTCTTGCTCTAGTTTCTTGTTGAGATTAGTACTGGCACCACCATGTCTGGCACACATGAGTAAATAAATGCATCTATAACTTTTATTTTTTTTTTTTATGTGGGGATTGAACTGCAGGCTTGAACTGTGGGCTTCATGCATGCTAGGCCAAATACTATATATCTGACTCTATGTGATCTAGCCCCTGTATATTTCTGCCTTCATCTTGTATAATTCATTTTTCTTTTATTTATTTATATTTTGTTACTTGAGACCAGGTTTTGCTATGTATGGCTGGCTGGCCTGGAACTTACTATGTAAATCAGTCTGGTCTTGAACTTGTGACATTCCTCAAGTGCTGGGATGATAGGCATGTGCCACTTTGCCTGGTATAATCCATCTGTCTCATTTACATAATATCTTAACCATCTTTTCTCTTCTGATCCTTGAACATCCCAGATTTATTCATGGCTTGGAACTTGTGCTGTAGGTATGCATTCCTCATGATTGGTTCTGCCTCCATGTTTTCCTGCTAGTGGTTTGTCTCCCTTCAGGTTATTCTTCAGTTTGAGAAGATTCTCCTATTTATTTATTTGTTGTTTTGAGAGAATCTCTATGTGGCCTCAGCTGGCCTGGAACTTGTTACTGTTACATAAGACAGTCTGGCCACAAATTTGCTGCTCTCCTCCTGCCTCTGCCATCTTAGTTTTGGGATTACAGATGTCTTATTACCATGCCCAGCCAAGAAGGTGCTCCTTTAAAATAGCTATCCCAAACATATTTCTCCAATCTTGCTTTATTTAATCTTTTTAATTGTTTTAAAAATTATTTTATTCATTACTAGTGAATGTGTGTCTGCATGCATGAGTGTGCATGTATGCCACTGCATGTGTGGAGGTGAGAGGACAACTTTTGGGATTAGGTTCTTTCCTTCCACAGTGGGGTCTGGGTATTGAACTCAGGTTGTCAGAGTTTCTTGACAAGCACTTTTACCCATTGAGCCATCTTGCTGGCCCGTTAATCTTTATATTGCTACCATGGTAGTATTTTCAGTTGTGTGGTGGTATAGGTCTGTAATTCCAGTGACTCAGGAGGCTGTGAGTTCTAGGCCAGCCTGGGCATTTTAGCAAGACCCTATCTTTTAAGAAAAGAAATAAAATGTCCTGGGATACAGCGTTGTTCAGTGGTAGAATGTTTGTCTAATGTGTGAGCCCTACATTCAATCCCTAGTACAAAAACTAAATCAGTTTGGCTATCAATTTCAATTCATTATATTTTGAAAAGAAATTAATTTTATTAAAATTAAGGT